AGCAACGTGGGTTTAAAGAGAGAACGTTTCTGTTTTGGTATTACCAAAAAGCATGCGGGATAACTTCGCATGTTATTCGGTCATACCCTTACTTGCTAAAGCTAACTCTCCCTTTTTTAGAGGTAGACTCCCGATTTTGGACCCTGAAATTCAGCATTTTCAGCCAGTGAATTTGCTAAACTATTCCGTATTTTTTAAGATCTGATGATTTCGTCTGAACGATCAGCTCAAAAGAAGCTAATTGTGAGCACGTGCAATCTCCTAAATGGAAATTTCAAAAGGTTGGCAAGTATGCTTACCGAAAAATATAAAGAGTTGCGGAAGTTGAAAACTGAAGACCTGTGTGAATGTTCATGGCATATTAAACTTCATCCTCGATACTCTATGCGTTACGCTCTCTGCACCCCTGGAATGTGTCATAACAAAATCGATTAGTCAGGTGTTTTGCCCTGCAGTAGGCGAACGTTGTAAATATTTGCATACAATATAATATAAGCATAATTCCATTCATTTCAACAACAACAAAAAGATGACACGGATAGTGATGGTTTGTGTTTGATAACAAAAAGGACGTATTTAAAGCTACAGACCAAGGAACCCCAGTCTTGTTATTTATCTGTGTCAACTGCATATTACAAGGAGCTGTTTTGTTTGCCTTATTATTTCTTCATAACATTAAATGCCAAAACTTGCCAAGGCCGGATCTGAAAGGAACTTGCAACCAGCAGCTTAACCAAACCGATATCGACAATATATTTATTTATTTTCTTGTGACATCCCCCCCCCCCCCTGTATTTCCTTGTTCCCTGTTTAATGCATCATAGTGGTGTCTACCTGGGCATCGCTCTTCATAAGTGAGCTTTTGTGAGAGCGTGGAACGACGTGAACATGGTATATTAGCGTGAACATGGTATATTAGTCGTTATGCTCCCTTTTATCTGGGTACATACATTGTGTATTGTAAATACATTTTTCCTTATCCTAGCTATAATGAAAAGAAACTTGAATTTCTCCTAACAGAATGTCCTTGTCACCTGTGAAGTAAATGCATACATTATCCTTAACATGAACATTTTTTATCTGCCGCCCCAATCACTACACTTATGACCCATGTCATTTTTCCACTTCCCTACTCTTTCTTTACGGTGGTATCTGTCTAGACTTCCGACTTCATATGAGATTAGCTGTTGAGAGGTGTTAAACAAAAATGTGATCCCTGTACAGTAAAAACAGACATGTTCCCTTTGTATACATATTTATTCCATGTACAGTAAGTACAGAAATGTTCCCTTTGTATAAACATCTATTCCCTGTACAGTAAATACAGAAATGTTCCCTTTGTATAAATATCTCACTGTTCCCTGTACAGTTAATACAGCCTTGTTCCCTTTATATAAATTTGTCATACTGCAAAGAAAAATGTCGCACGGTGATTGGTCGAATTGCCAAGGTACCTGAAGCTATGTTAGTATCCTTGCCAGGGTACATAAGAGCACGCGCGCCTGTTGTAAGGGAGATAACTCGAAGATTCGAATCGAATACACCGGAGAACGTTCGTCTGCTAATGTCAACAATCAACAATATGGCGAAACGTTTTTCAAAAATCAATCGTTACGAGTTAATAAGGAACTGAGTTGTTGTTTAATGTTGTTTCAAAACCATATTGTTGACTTATTACAATTCAAAAATTTATTAAATTGTTGAAATAATACCAAAAAAAAATCTGTTTTCCCGTCTACTACCTCCCTACACAGTATCTGTTTTCAATGGTTTTGCAATTATGACCAACTCGTTATACAGGTCTTTGGCAGGGTACATGGTCTCATGTTCGCTGTCAGGACCTTATGTACCCTTCGCCTTCAGCTCAGGGTACATAAGGTCCTGACAGCGAACATGAGACCATGTACCTTGCCAAAGACCTGTATAACTAATAATATCTGTTCAGTAAATACAGACATGTTCCCTTTATATAAATATCTCTGCTCCCTGTACAGTAAACACAGACATGTTCCCTTTATATAAATATCTCTGTTCCCTGTACAGAAAATACAGACATGTTTTTTATAAGAATATTTCCTTGTTCCCTGTACAGTAAATACAGACATGTTTTTTTATATGAATATTTCCTTGTTCCCTGTACAGTAAATACAGTAATGTTCCCCTTATAATACAACATTAAAGTGGTTTTTTTGCTTACAGTCACATTTACATTTTCTGTTCCCTGTAGTGAGTAAACACAGTCATGTTCCCTTTATATAAATATCTCTGTTCCCTGTACAGAAAATACAGACATGTTTTTTTATATGAATATTTCCTTGTCCCCTGTACAGTGAATAAAGTAATTTTCCCCTGTACAATATAACATTAAAGTTTTTAGGTTACCTGACCATAGGTCATGGTAACCTACTGTGATAGCCTTTTGTCCGTCGTCATCCGTCGTGCGTCATGCATTAACTTTTCCTTGTGAACACAATAACGTCAGTAAATGTTAACTGAGTTTGATGAAACTTTGTATGCAGCCATATAAAATGGGAATTATTCGACAGTAGCTTACAGAGTTATTGCCCTTCGTAATACTATTATTATTGGACCTTGTGAACATAATAACTTCAGTAAATGTTAACCGAAATTGATGAAGCAGCCATATATCAATAAGTTCTCGGACGAGTTCGAAAATGGGAATTATTCGAGTAACTTACAGAGTTATTGCCCTTTGTAATAATATTATTATTGGACTTGTGAACATAATAACTTGAGTAAATGTTAACTGAAATTGATGAAACTTTGTAGGCAGCCATATATACCAATAAGATCTTGGACGAGTTCGAAAATGGGAATTATTCGACAGTAACTTACAGAGTTATTGAACATTGTAATAATATTATTATTGGACCTTGTGATCATGAGAACTTGAGTAAATGTTAACCGAGTTTGATGAAACTTTGTAGGCAGCCATGCATATATCAATAATATCCCGGACGAGTTCGAAAATGGGAATTATTCGACAGTAACTTACAGAGTTATTGAACATTGTAATAATATTATTATTGGACCTTGTGATCATGAGACCTTGAGTAAATGTTAACCGAGTTTGATGAAACTTTGTAGGCAGCCATATATTAATAAGATCTCCGACGAGGTTAAAAATGGGAATTATTCGACAGTAACTTACAGAGTTATTGCCCTTTGTAATATTAATATTATTGGACCTTGTGAACACCATAACTTGAGTAAATATTAACCGAGTTTGATGAAACTTTGTATGCAGCCATTTATCAATAAGATCCTGGACTCTAAATGGGAATTATTCGACAGTAACTTACAGAGGTATTGCCCTTTGTAATAATATTATTATTGGACCTTGTGAACACGAGAACTTGAGTAAATATTAATGTTAACCGAGTTTGATGAAACTTTGTATGCAGCCATTTATCAATAAGATCCTGGACTCTAAATGGGAATTATTCGACAGTAACTTACAGAGGTATTGCCCTTTGTAATAATGTTATTATTGGACCTTGTGAACATGATAACTTAAGTAATTATCAACCAAGTTTGATGAAACTTTGTATGCAGCCTTATATCAATAAGATCTCCGATGAGTTGGAAAATGGGAATTATTCGACAGTAACTTACAGAGTAATTGCCCTTTGTAATAATACTATTATTGGACCTTGTAAACACGATAACTTGAATAAATGTTGACGGAGTTCAATGAAACTTTGTCCTTATATTATTATTTGTCCCTGTGAAGATGATAACTTGAGTAAATGTTAACAAAGATTGCTGAATAACTATGTAAGTTATGGTCAAATTGGTCCGGTATTCAAACTCATGTTAGACCTCATTGTTACAAAGCTGTATACAAAGTGTCATCAAAATCGGTTCATATTTACTGAAGTTATTGTGTTCACAAGGAAAAAATAATGGACGATGCAGCAAGGTCACTCGGACCGACGAAAAGTATGAATTGGCCCCTGGATGACAGTCCTAATTTGAATCGGATGTCAGGTGACCGTTAAGGCCCATGGGCCTCTTGTTTTTGTTTACAGTCACATTTACATTTTCTGTTCCCTGTAAGTAAATACAGACATGTTCCCTTTATATAAATATATCTGTTCCCTGTACAGTAAACACAGTCATGTTCCCTTTATATAATTATCTCTGTTCCCTGTACAGTAAACACAGTCATGTTCCCTTTATATAATTATCTCTGTTCCCTGTACAGTAAACACAGTCATGTTCCCTTTATATAAATAGTGAGTAAACACAGTCATGTTCCCTTTATATAAATAGTGAGTAAACACAGTCATGTTCCCTTTATATAAATAGTGAGTAAACACAGTCATGTTCCCTTTATATAAATAGTGAGTAAACACAGTCATGTTCCCTTTATATAAATAGTGAGTAAACACAGTCATGTTCCCTTTATATAAATAGTGAGTAAACACAGTCATGTTCCCTTTATATAAATAGTGAGTAAACACAGTCATGTTCCCTTTATATAAATATCTCTGTCCCCTGTACAGTAAACACAGTCATGTTCCCTTTATATAATTATCTCTGTTCCCTGTACAGTAAACACAGTCATGTTCCCTTTATATATACAGACATGTTTTTTTTATAAGAATATTTCCTTGTTCCTTGTACAGTAAGTTTTTGCTTACAGTCACATTTACATTTTCTGTTCCTTGTACAGTAAACACAGTCATGTTCCCTTTATATATACAGACATGTTTTTTTTTATAAGAATATTTCCTTGTTCCTTGTACAGTAAGTTTAGTTATGTTCCCCTGTACAATGTAACATTAAAGTTTGTTTTGTTTACAGTCACAAATTTCGATTACAATGTAACTGTCAAAGATAGTATCACATCATAATTACAAGCTTATTAGCCGATGTTCTCCCAAACAGGTCGATGATTAGAACTTTTGTAATTGTAAAGGCAAAACATGTTTCATGTTATGCAGTATGCAGTCTTTCAAAATATTACAAAAACATTCTGAAAATATATATTACATTTTATTGGTAGTTTTTTTTCTATAAAAAAATACAAAATTTTCATATACTGGCAATTCCTTACTTCCATGCATCACTCGCAGATTATAAAGAATTTTCGATGGGCTACCATAAGGTGACAATTATTAAAATGTGGAATGTTACGCATAAAGCAGATATAACAAGAAAACAGATATGTATATGGAGACATGGACAGCAATGGGAGACATGTTCCGACATCAAGATGTGGCCAGCTCCGCATCCACATGGAAAAATCCATTAAAAATACAAAAATATGTCTTTAACATTTCTATATATATATGTATATATCACAACAAAATTGTAAAACCAGGCATTGATTTTGGTAATTATAGGATTCTACATAGCACTCAATAAATATCCAAAACAAAAACTGAAAATTTGATGATTCATTAGTTAGCATTATTCCTAGAAAGTGTTTCTATTCACAGTGAAAGATGTGAGATAAATAAGAGAAAAACAAAATTTAAATATTTAAAAAAATTGCATAATTATTTTTAACAAACTAGCAATGATTTGGTTTAGATGTTTATCTGAAGCTGAACTATGGTTATATAATAAGAATATATGTATAATAACAACCCCTATTCCCATCCCACAAGTGACTTTAACATACCGCACAGTCTTTCTATCAACGGACCTCTTTTCATAACTGTTTGGAAGTAAAAACGAACAGTCATGAATTTTGAATTGGCTTAAAAGGATTTTCATTATTTCCCTTATTTTGGAATAAGAACAGAGGTCAAAGTTCAGAGAAACGACACATTCACACTCACTGTTACATTCACATATCATTTCAGCACACGTCACTCTTTAACTTTTGAAAGTAACATTTCTTCATTGTAACAAAATATGCATAGATAGAGAGGTGAGTGGAGCGGACCTCCAATCTGTTACCACTGTATTGAGTGACCACGTATCTCCTTCATTAGATGAAAGTTGTTGCCACGGTAACCACTTGTTTGGTGCTCTTACCAGGAATCACTCTAGTAATAAAAGTGTACAGAAACGTGAGTATGTGGCAAGTCTAAGCAAAACCTGTGACAGGTAATGGTTTGTACAGTGATTTTCTAACGATGATGTCATTTCATTCCAGGTTGAAGTCTTTTGCTTTAATAGCATAACAAATACAAAGTTTCTATAGTATGATGTTGTCTTTGTCTAAATGTTGCAGGCTGGCAGAATTTTTGTTGAACACTAATTAATGAACTTCCCGGAATGAAGATTGTGTTGGCAGGTTGCATCAGAGCAAGGTGGTTCCTTCTACTATGCCTGTGCCCTGTTGAGTATCACTGTAACAGAAAACAACGTAGTTAAAGTTTTGCCCTCTGATGGAGGTTTGAATACAGCACCTAACGTATTTGTTTAGGTCATTTCTACACCACAAATGCCTGGAATATAGTCAGTTGAATCCTCCTCATTCTTGCAATATCAACAACTCCATGATAGATTATCAACAGTGTTTTCTCAATGCAAGCATGTGGATAAAATTAAGTGACCATTGCAGGAGAACTCAATATTTTATCCAAGAGCAAGTGAAGCTCGTCGCCCAAAGTTGACTAAATACCAATCGGCACCTTCCAACCAACTTTTAAAAGTCTGTTCGATATGGTTTCACATTATTGTACCGACAATTTTCCTATGTACAGTGCTTAAACATTTAAATAGTGTTGATCTGCTTCAGCAGATTGACATTATTGACCATGAACAGATTTTTTAAATTGGGACGCTGAAATACATTCCAAGCTCCTTCTCAACTTCTGAAGTATTGTTGCACTAACTATCCAATCTTAGGATACACCAAATTCACTAGTGATATTTGACAAAACTCAATCATGTTCACGTGCGGAAAAAAGTTAGCTCATGAAATACTTACTCCTGGAATATGGGATTGATAGCGGCCGTGGATAAACCCCGGTCATCTTCCTGTGGTTCAATCATTACCTCCTCACCGAGATTTACATTGAGGATCTCCAGAGGGTTTATAGCCTCATCAGGCGGTACATACATATTCAGACTCTGTAAAACAAGAAATGGTACTTAAGTAACTCACTTCTTACTCACATACCAACTTAGGATAAGTTCTTTTTTAATAATTTGATGTTTGATTTTTGTTACTTCTTTTTTTGTAAATTCTTTCAGATGTATTAAAATATTGTGATTGTGAACTGGTTCAGGATTCCCTTTCAACAAATTGACTTACCTGTGTCTCGTACTCCCTGAGGAAACTTGGAGGTTCCATGAAGTCTGGCTGGTCATAGGAAGCTTGGTATATACGGTACTGGTTAATGTACTTGGTGTATCTGTAGGAAATCAACAAGAGGGGTCATTAAGATTTATCTCCCTTGCCACAAATCCAACACAAATTAATAAAGAGTGTCCCTTTTTACCAAGTCGACTAGTGCTTCTTTTAGTTTAGTATTGAACTGCTTTCAGTAGGCATTCATAGTCAATATGAATGCCAACTAGATTGTGACAAATTCTAGGAAGTTCTCTCGAGTTTCTTGTTGGATTTTTTGTGTTCAAGTTGGCATTGATACTCACTATGAATGACAATTTAAAGCTGTTCTTTACTTATAATGATCACTATGGAAATATGTAAATCCAATGGAAAGTTTATTGATCAGAAGTCAGCATTTTCTTAAAAAAAATTGTATGTATCCTGTATAATTGTTTGATGAATAAAATGGCCATCTTCAATGGAGGATGAGTGGTATCAAAGCCACAATTATGATATCACAATAATGACTGTATAAACATGGGAACCACTGCATTCATAGATGATATGAATACCATCTTGACTTGGATGGGTGACATAGTGGCAGGGCCAATGAGTGGTAAATACAATGCATGAATAGAACCTACCTGGAGTGTGTGAACACTAGAACAATTATTCCAACGATACAGAGGAGGATGATGATTGCCGCTAAGGCGATGAGTGCTGCCCATGGGTCGTCAATCCACCACACGTAGGACTTGGTAAGACGTGTCTGGTAAATGTTGGCATTTTCATACGGCATACGTACTCTCTCTACCTTGATTTGTGTGTCACTCTGTAGTCGGTCGTTGAGGTTTATGGTCTTGTCTGCAGTAAAGATGCTGAAAAGAACAAATCAGAATTAATTTTCACAATATTATACTCTTCAATTTGACAGTGAATAGTTTGATATAAAAGTGATAGATTCACAGTAACAATACCAAAGTAATTTTTTTCAACAAGAAATAAACATGAAATTTGAAGGTTTTGCCCCGTAAGTAAATTTTTACCCTTTGAATATCCGAACTTTTAAAAACATTCTGTCATCTAATTAGCGCCATCACTATAATTTTATGTTTCATACACATTTTCATCAAGCGTTACAATACTCGTAAGGGAACAAGAGTAAAAGAAATAACTGTTACAATTAAAGAGCAGAGTGATGATTGAGAGGACTTACTCAGGCACCATAGTGTTGTTGATCAGATTATAAGGTTCCCGTGGCTCGCCCAATACAAATATCACATCAGTACTGTAAACATAAATATACCAACATTAGGTCGCTACTTCCACAGTAGTTTACATGTATGGTTTCATAATGAATTAAAATAGAAGAGAATCGAAACAAAATACTTAATAAAATGACCTTGAATAACAAAAAATCATGGAAAGAAACAGTTTTCATATCCAGAAATATTTAGAAAGTGTAAATAAGAAAAATAATCAACTCTTTAATAACTACAGTTGTACTCACTCTGAGTCTTTAATAACCAGTTGGTCCTGGAGTTCTAAGTTTCTACGCCGCTCTATACTTTCTATGATACACACTTTCTGGAATTCATCTTGAAGAGCTCTGGAACAAAATAACAATAAATGTTAAACAAGTATCCCGAAATTGTCATGTACAAACCATATGATATCAGGGATAAATTCACATGCTACTTAGGTCATCAGGGTTAATCTACATGATACTAAGGTCATCAGGAATAATCCACATATTAGGTTTTAAGGGATAATCCACATGTTACTACATGAAACTGAAACTTCTCTTCGTTCCTACTATTTTTATAAACTTAACATGAAACTGAAATTTTTCTTCTTTCCTCCTTTTTCATCAACTGAAACAACAAACCGTCGGCTGTCGGATGGCTGTTTTGGATATCAATGTATCTGTCATGTTTTGCGCCATCGTGATGATATTAATAGGTCAGAGATAATCCATATATTAGAAGGTCGTCAGGGATGATCTACATATCACTAGGTCGTAAGAGATAGTCCACATCTTGCTAGCTATACAGGTCATCAGGGAAAATCAACATTATACTAAGATCGTCAAGGATAATCCACATGTTACTAAGGTCATCAAAGATAATCCACATGTTACTAAGGTCGCCAAGGATAATCCACATGTTACTAAGATCAAGGATAATCCACATGTTACTAAGGTCATCAGGGATAATCCATATTATACTAAGGTCGTCAAGGATAATCCACATGTTACTAAGGTTGTCAAAGGATAATCCACATGTTACTAAGGTCGTCAAGGATAATCCACATGTTACTAAGGTCATCAAGGATAATCCACAGGTTACTAAGGTTGTCAAAGGATAATCCACATGTTAATAAGGTTGTCAAGGATAATCCACATGTTAATAAGGTTGTCAAGGATAATCCACATGTTACTAAGGTTGTCAAGGATAATCCACATGTTGTTTTGATTTCCCACTGGTGGAATTCACTTCATTAACACATATCAGTATTTGCAAACTTGACACAATAATTGGGAACTGAACCGTGGAACGGGTATTTATTACGGTAAATACAAAATTTTATCTATCCAAGAGTTTTTGATACAAACCTTCGAATGACTGCCTTTTTAGCGGCAGCATCCTGTGGCACCATGTCTTGAAGAGTAAGTACAAAACGGTTGTAGTTGTAAATGATGTTGATCTGTCGAAACAAAAACAGCAAGAGATTAATACTTTATTCATTATGCAGGACCCCATTTAATGCTTGTGGATATTGAGGACTGGCTTTATATATAGGACATTGAACAGCATATTTAGGCCTGGCTTTATATATAGGACATTGAACAATTCATTTAGGACTGGCTTTATATATAAGCCATTGAACAATTTATTTAGGCCTGGCTTTATATATACAACATTTACTGGTATATTAAGGACTTGCTTTATGTTTTGGGCGTTTAAATGTATATTTAGGACTTACTGTATGTATTTAGGGCCTACCGCACTAAAATATACATAGACAATTTATGCACATAAGGTAATAAGTGAACTACAACTCTGTTTTCTATCTACACTTACATAGGCTGTTGACTTACATCTACACTTACATAGGCTGTTGACTGAGTGACCTTGACATACTGAACGCTCACACTACTTATATCTACACTTACATAGGCTGTTGACTGAGTGACCTTGCGCTCCACAACTGTCGGTGCCATGTCCGTAGCCAATATAGGAATCTTAAAGGTCTTGGCAGCCAGTGTGTCAGCTGAGAATTCAGTGGTTGTCATTATTTTTCCATCCTCAGGATTTATCATCTTGAAAGGTGGATTTGCTGGTACTGCACTCTGATCCACTGTTGAGTAGCGTACTTCTCCAAAATGTCCAGAATCTTCATCAGTTGCCTACAAATAGAACGAAACCAATGATTTAGGATAGAAAAATCGGTCTATAAGTTGTATAGATTACTCTCATATTGAAGAGAAATTATCTTCAGTACAAAATAATAACTTTTCAAATTGAAAAAAAAAGGAAAAAAAGGATGTTATGAAATATACTGCACAATAGAAATACCAAATCCCAGAATTTTATTTATATATTCAAATATAACAAATGAGAATTTCTGGAAAATAAAACAGCTGGCATGTCAATTCAAGATTACATGATAGATGATGTTATAGCTATTACTTACATAAACCGTCATTACGGATGCGTCTGGGCGAACATCTGAAGCGATGGCTCCAAAGTATCTGTTTTCCGTACCCGCACTGCTGGTCTGGAGTGGGTAAATATGGGGTTCGTCATACTGGAAGATGGGTGAGTTGTCGTTGACATCGATTACGTCAATGATGACTGTTGCTATTGGGTGAGTGTTTTGTACTGAAATAGAAGAAAATACTCAATATAACAGTGTCATTATTACAAATAATAGTGCCGATATTATAAAACCCTGGACACTGATTGATTAACATAGGTATATTCTGATGCCATATACTGCTGAATATTGTGTATATATATATATAAATATTGCTGAGCACAACCATTTTGGTGAGTTTCTATTTTGCTGGAGGTGTCAAGAAGTTCTTTGCCAAGTACTGTTAGTAACCTTAGGCAGTTTTAGTAGACGGAATTTTATACTTCTAGCGAGGGCATTATGGTAAAACAGAGTCCTCTGGGGATGTGTTGCCTTCGATCAAGGCCCTGTCCTGGAGGTGTTGAGGGATAGTTTAGGGTCAGAGTGGAAGGTTAACGCATATTTCATTTCCAGACATATTTATCACTGTGAACATCCAAACCTTAGAATATCAATTGTATTTGTAAAAGGAAATTTTTGTAACTTTCTTCACTTTGTAGATTTAACTGATTAAAAGACACTTACTGAAGATCTGTCTCTTCTTCCTCCCTACAGCCCCTTCGGTTACTTGCACGGTCACATTATACCTCTTAGTAACCTCATAGTCAAAGCCTGGTTCAATCAGTTTGAGTCCGCAGTTCTTCTGGAACTGGTCTGGAGTGATGGAGAACGGGAGGCCAGTTAGATCTCCCAATATGCTACACTGTGCTGACTGTGACGCCTGGTATTCTACATCCATGATCAGGATCACCTGATCAACATCTATGTTCTCACGAAGTTGTAGACTGCAAAAAAAACCCACCATCAATGAATGATATCTTACAATTTTCCCAGTTGACAGAATGCAAACATCAAAACCCCAACATTACGTTTTTATTTCACTACAACTGCCATTGATATGTAGAAATACAAGTAAACTGACTGACAATCAACCTGTGTGAACTGAAACCTCAGTGTGAACTTACACTTACTAGTAAACTGACTGACAATCAACCTGTGTGAACTGAAACCTCGGTGTGAACTTACACTTACTAGTAA